CAACCGGCCGTAAATTTGGATTTTAAAACGAAATGATAAGCAACCATAGAAGCATTTTATTTTTGATAATAGCTAAAACAACAAAGCTTTAATCGCTTGACTTCAACAGGCCGGTATGTTGTATAGTATGTAGTATCGCTCAGACGTTTTCGTGTGTTGTATCGCTTAGGGCGAGTCAAAATACAAACAAGGAGTCAAAATACCCAACCATACTACACACACAAGTATGGGGCGCCAAGTGGAGAAAAATGCCTTTTCGAAATGTTCCTTTTCTTTTTACATCAATAGGTCCTAAACTAGAGAGTTTTGTTGTCAATACGCGTAATAGATTTTAGCTAACAGAAGTATTTTATCCATTCGAAGTCAAAATATACATTGTAATAAAAGCTAAGTTTTTTGTTTGTCTCACGATGTAGTCATGTGTGATGTAGATCGCGACGTTTCTACTGCATACTTCTAGTCTTCTTCAGGCGATGAGGTCGACTGGTCATGCGTGATCTTATAAAGCATGATGCTCTGCTGTGATTAGTTGTTTTTTTCAACAGCTCTGATTGGTGCATTTCGATCCTTGCTGTTCATTCAGGGATTTGCTCCCTCGGCGGTCTGCTGTCACACGGCTCTCCTGTTGTTGTGGTTTTTGATCGTGGGCATCCACGCTTCTGGAATTTCTATTCCACTATCCCTGTTGATGTTGTTAGGGTGAAGTCTCATATGAATTGCCTCTTTGACCTTGCGCGTGTAGTAATAAGGGTAACGATCAATAAACTTTACTTCGTTCTAGAGTGGCTTGTGTCCGGTGTTGTGGGCATGCTCTGAAACGGCGGAGGTCTCGGTACAGGCGTGTCGAATGTCTCGATCGTGCTCCTTAATTCTGTCTTGCATAGGTCTTCCAGTTTCTCCGATGTACACCTTGCCGCATCCACAAGGAATCCTGTAAACTACGCCATCTTACTCAGCCGGGTCTACAGCGTCTTTTGGGCGTACTGAGATCTTAGCGTAGTCTGTGACTTGAAAAAAACGCGTACGCCTTGTTGTTGTAGGCGAAGCTGTTCGGACAGACCTTTGACATAAGGTAAAACCGCAGTAGCTTTGAACTCGTTGGCGGGTTCCGCACTGTTATTTGGTTTTCCGGTCTTGGTAAGTTTCTGCAAGAAAGAAAAATGGATAACCATTAAAAACCGGAACAGATGACAGATGTTTTTTCTCCTCGGAGATGACGGAGGGTTTTGTAACGAGACGTTTAGCGCGCTCGTAAAGGCACTTGACAATACTGCGTTTTACTGATTGAGGGTGGTGTGAATCATACGCTAAGTATTGATCGGTGTGCGTGGGCTTCCTGTGAACACTGGTGGTGAGGCGGCCGTCAGGTTCTCTTAAAACTGCGGTGTCTGGGAAGGCCAGTTTGTTGTCTTTCTCTGTCTCCATGGTGAAGCGGACGGAAGGCTGCTAGTTGTTTAGATGCTGTAAGAAGTCACCTACGTTTTCGCGATCCAGGATGGTAAAGGTATCGTCCACGTGGCGTTTCCAGATCCTAGGCTCGTAGGATGATGTAGTTATCGCCTGTTCTTCGAAACTCTCCATGAAGAGGCTAGCAATTACAGCGGAAACCGGACTCATGGCGTCGCCGTCTTTTTGCTCGTAAATCGATCCGTTATACTGGAAGTATGTGGATCTCAATACGAAGGTCAAAAGGTCAGTGATCTGTGCAGGCGTTAGCTTTGTGCGGTCTGCAAGGCTTGGGTCGTTCTCTAGTTTCTGCATTGCGGCTTGTACAGCGGCGTCGATAGGAACATTGGTAAACAACGATTCTACGTCGAACATCATGTTTTATAAGATCACGCATGACCAGTCGACCTCGTCGCCTGAAGAAGACTAGCAGTATGTAGTCGAAACGTCACGATCTACATCACACGTGACTACATCGTGAGACAAACGAAAAACTTAGCTTTTATTTTTATAATTTATCACCAGTGACAAAAAATTTCAATTTACTGAAAGACAAACTTTTAAAGACATGGATGAACATTTAACTTTAACAAAAGTGCTTCTTCTTCCGACTCAATCACATAACGACAGTGCTTCGCAAGAATTGTAGCCGGTACTTTGGGAGCAGTGGGTTGTTAACCAAGAACAAAGGTTCAGTCCCTTTTGGTCTGTTTAATACCATCTAATTGAAAGCGCAGCTGACCTGTTTTAAAGTAAAAATAATCAACTGTTCATGTAACCGTGCAATAAAGGGGGGAAAACAAAAAAATGTACTTGATTCGCGCATTATTTACTCTCTACTCAGTGCAGTTGGATGATATATCACAATGTTGCGAGATAAATTAATTCATGGTTATCGGCATGTATTAAAGTTCAGTTAGCTCGATATTTATTCATGGCGTTCAGTTAAGAAGTGTTCTTAAAAAGGAGATTTGCCACCCAATCGTGGGTTGAGATGTTGACTCTTTTTGTCTCTTGTTTAGTTTTTCTTTTGATAAAATAACAGAAAGGAGAAGCCATACTTCACAATAAAAAAAAAGGAGGAAGTCATGCAGGATTTCGTTTTAATCTGTACTTAAAAAGTGACGTATGTACCTTTGTTATGTTCATCGAAGGTAAAGTTTAAAGTGTAATCCTTTGCGTTGAATCTTTTCGTCAGTTTGTCTCGCTTATTTTGCAAAAGCAGTGTGGAGTGGAGTTAAAAATAACTTAATAACTGTAGGGCCGGAATTCTACTAGAAAGGAGAGTGAAGTTTCTGAACTTGCTTTTGAAAAGGTAGCATGTCTTCCCCCTGCGTTTGGCTATGAAGTGATTTTGACGATATTGTGCATTTGATATAGTTTATGTCGCATCGTGAACGAAGTCGACTGTTTTCTTTCTTATATAACTAAAAATTGTTGCCTTGCAAAAGGCTCAAGTCTCTCAAGAAAAGGAGGAAAGAATACTTGAAGGTAGCTCATTTTCCTTTTTTTGACTTTTTTTCATCTATCTTCGCAAATATATATATTTTCTGAGCATGGCATAAATCTCACGCATCATGGACTAAAAAACCGAACATATTAGCGGCATAATGTTAGTTAAAAGGAAAAAAAATGATGAAACAATGAAAAACTTTGTCCACGCTTAGAGTTAGCTCATCAGTATCGAGTTTAGTATTCCTTAGCAGGTTATCCACTCATGGAAATAAGGGTCCGTTTATAGTCCGTAATTGGTAATTTTTCTTGCACTTTATTAACCAAGGCGTTTCTCAATTTTCCTAAAATATCATCATAATTATTATCGTCAGCAAAATTTCGTTTTTTTTTTCAGTCTTGTTGCAGCCGATTTTATTGTAATATTTTATTTGTATTGGCATATTTCCTTGGTTATTGACGTGCGCTGTTAACTTAACGGCATTGCGTTTATCAGCGATAATAATGCCTACATTTACTTGAAGTTCAGTAGCTGGTGGTGGCAGTCAAGCTTTCATACGAAAAGCTAACATTGAAATAAATTGACATACTTATAATTATATCTTCATGGATGTTCTAGTGATTTGCGCCTTTACTGTCGATCACAACCGACAATAATGCCAAACTAAAGGGTTCTTTTCATGATCATTGCTAAGTAATATCTGAAAACTTCTAATCTTTTTACCCAGATTCCTTTCCTAATATCTATAGTTAAATTGCAGCGGCATTTACAACTGTTCTAAGCAACAATAACTATAACCTAAAGTGCAATTGGTTATGGACCACATTGGCCCGAAAATGGGCAGAATGTGTTCAAACACAATGAGCGCAGCTGACACCCCACAGTAATATCTCGAGCAATTACATTGTAACAAATTGTTAAAAAGAATAAGAAGAAAAAATGAATTTTTGCTCATTCATTTCTTTGCTTTACTGTCATAGAAATTTCCAGTGATTATTGCTTTCCATATATAATATAAAATCTTGGTCGTTTTGTTTGCTGAAAAAAGTTAAGCCTCCCTGATTCATTACCACTTTGCTACTGTTGCAACGACTTTAAGAATAAAGCCCAGATATTGAGAACACATAATGCTTCATTAGAAGCAAAGAAATTTACGCCTTTATAGCAAGTGAAACGAGACAAAACTCCGACTGATTTGTTTCTAAATAATTTGAAGCTCTTTCAGAATTTTAATTTTTCCGTGGCAATGCTGAATTTAATGATTTCTCTTTGACATTATGCCAACTTGTGTTTACTTTAAAAGTGCGCGGTTCTTCTACTAAGCAAATTCATTTTGTTTAGGAAAAATTAACTCGGTTTGGAAGCATAGTCGCTCATCCTATAGAGAACTTAATCTCGTATGAAAATACGTAAGGTAGGTCCAATGAATCGATACCTAATATTTGCCAGCTGAAGAGCCGAAAAAATTATAAGAGGTAATTATCATTTCATCTTACCAATTTGTACGAGATGGAGATACGAGTCAACTTGTAGATTGGCAGACTGGAAAAGGTGGTTAAAATTTTTTCATATTCGCGCTGTTGCGCTGTAAGTGACACTTCTTATCAAACCTTGTACAATTGTTATGAGCCAATTTAAAACATTCGGCAACGTGAAAAAATTTAAGTTGTTTAATATACAAAGCTTTCTGACTCAGGCTGGAGAAGGTATTGCCAAATTGAAAGTTCACTCTCAAATCAATCACTTTATGTGCGCTGAAAATCTAGGAAACCGTCGACTTCCTATGTAAGTCATCTAAGAGTCAGTGGAAGTAATCAGTAATTGGATTACCTATAAGGCAAGAGAGTCAGGTCCTTTCAGTTTTATTCCAAAAAAAAAAAAAACAAAACAAAAAAAACAAGCTATTTCCTTCAACATGTACTTTTCTAATTTAAATTCTATTAAAAGTAAACATGGAAAATTTACGAACTTCACGTGATCTCATCGACTCACGTTTTTGAAAAATTTGGAACGATGTAGAAACAGCTAATAGACGTCAACCTCAAAATACCTATCAATGTTTAACTTTTAGGCTTAGCTAGCTTTTAGTTCAAGAACCACAATGACAGATTCAGCTGGTGTTTTCACGACTGCAGTGCTCTCTATTCTGATTTTCGTGGGAATCATTGGAAACTCAATGGTCTGTATTGTCATACTGAAACATCGAGATATGAGGTAGGCATAACCCCTGAACCACAATCAATGTTTTTAATTGGTACTGAAATAAATGTTTGTTGAGAGAGTTATCTCATAATGTTCCAGCTTTTTCTAACATCGTTGGACTTATGGTCAAATATTACAGATGATAAAAGAAATAAAAGAGTCAATTGCTTATAATTCATTTCTTCACCTCCTCAGAGTTCCCATCAATTATCTTCTTGTGAACCTGGCAATGGCAGATATCATGTTTGCTACGTTTATCGCCCCGCAGTACATCTTGAGTCAGACGTTCACCCATCCTGGCGGAGTTACTGGTAAAGTTTTATGCAAGCTGTTAACTGGTGGGAACTTCGCGTGGGTAGGAGCCGCATCTTCCGTGTTTACTTTGGTGAATATTTCGATGGAACGTTACTATGCGGTGATGTATCCTCTGAGCAATAAAGGAAATCTTTCCGAACGCAAAATCATGGTAAGTGACGTGCTGAGGAAGAGTCATTTTACTATTGTTTCGGACAGTCTCTCGAGTATCACTTTGTTTCACATAATTTCAGGTATAAAAACTGAATCCTTTACATTTTCATGTTAATGCGTCCCAAGAATTAAAACGAAGTGGATGTGGGAGATGAGGATATCGTCAGTTTGTTGTTATTCAAATAATAGCATCATGGGAGTTATGCATTAATTAATTTTTTTCAGGTAATCATTTCCGGTGCTTGGATGTTTTCTGTGATTGTGAACGCTCCAGTTTTCTTGGTCGTTGAATTTATAAATGAAAGCAGTGCTTGTGAAAGAAAATGGCCTGAAAAATGGATGCCAAGGGCTTACAATGTGGCTTGGTTTGTCGTCATGGCAATTATTCCCTTGACAGTGATGGCTGCATTATATTCCAGAGTGGTTTACAGGTTGTGGTTTCAACCTGCTGAGAACAGCGAGCTTACCCAACAGCAAAAGGTTTGAACTAAGAAAGCACTCGTATTTTGCATTTTTGTTAAAATTAAAAACTAAACTTCGACCCCTCTTTGAATTATGATTTGAGCAAAATGATTGATTGCAGCCATCTTTTGATCTCTAATTTGAAAGGGTGTATTGAAGCTACGTAAGCGAGTCACTTTGGCAGTCGTTGTTGTTAGTGTTATCTTCGGGGTCTGCTGGATTACAGACTCCATTGTCTATATCGTGAGCCATTTCAACACCGAAAGCTTTGGTCCAGCGGTGTACTCTGTTTCCAACACGATGATCATGTTAAACTCAGCTGTAAATCCGTTTGTATATGGTCTGGTAAATCAGAGATTCAGGAGGAAGATCAAAATCATGCTTGGTTGTACATTTACTTCTCGAGTGAGAGTCCATGTCTCCAGGGAAACGCATTCCACAGAAATGTGAAACAGTACAATCAGCCGTCATCCTGAAGAGGAATACTGTGTAGACTTTAACGTGCATGCAAACAGACACAGAATCTTGGTATTTTAGTATTATCATCTGAGTTGATAACGTAAATTGGCCGCTATAAAGAGTTTAAAGCCTGACGTTTCGAGCGTTAGCCCTTCGTCACCGCGAAGGGCTGTGATGAAGGGCTAACGCTTGAAACGTTAGCTTTTAAATTCTTTACGGTGGGTAAATTACGTTTTCAACTCAGTTGGTAATAATAAATTTCCTTGTTATACTCTCCCACCGACGCAGTACCACAGTTTTTTAGAAATTTATCCCCTTTAGACAGTTGTTCACTCATCAGTAACCTAAGCATAACGATTGGATATTTCGACAGGGCCGCGAATATCAACATTAACGTGATTATGAAAAATTCAGTTTTTCAATTCTCTTTTTCTGATTTTCGTTAAGTTAAACCCGGTCCAACTAATCGTGTTTTTCTGGTGTGAATGCGGCCTAATATTTATGAGTGTGATCAGTGTGCTTTAAATAAAGAAAAAACAAACAAACAAACAAACAAATAAAAACAGAACAGTTTTTTGAAGAATGTAAAGGTTTCTGCTTTTTAGTGACCGGGAGTCTAAATATTAAAAAAATATGTTTTTGTTGTTGCAAATTTGATCATTTCTTGGTAAACTTTATTGTTATTCTTAAGTTTGCAGAACATAATCTTCCATTAGTTAGTTCATCGCCGTAATAATCTGAGGGTATTGCGAGTAAACTTTCCCTGACATGTTTGCGATAAGCAACTGTTCTATCGTTGGAAAACGATTTCCCACGGTTTAGGTCATAAGTGTCTTAAATAGTGTCGATTGGTGTATGGCGCTGAAATTAAAAAATCAATATCAAGTGCTTTTGTAAATTTTTTTTGATGTCCTTGCAATTATCATTGAAAGCAAAAGAGAAAAAGAAACGTTGGACAACTCTATTTTGTTGATTCTATGCAGATGGTTTCATTTCTTCAGACAAAATTTAAATTTTGAGCGGAAATGTGTGATCTGTTTTGATAATTTTTTTTTAATACAGAGTACTCTTCTAAACACAGAAATTTCAATAGCAAGGCAATTCTATTTCTTAAAAATTAAAGCAATACCTTTTTTTTGCGCTTTTTTTTCAGTGGAAGTGAAACGGGCAATATTGCACTGTAATCCTTGTGTGCCATATATGACGTTTGTATCCCACTTTTCATGACTAGTAAGCGAATACAAAGTAAACTCTGTTGACAGGTACAGGAAAACTCTATTCCATAAGTGGAGAATAATTTCCCAAAGTTTTCCTTAATAATCTTGGTTAGTGAAGAGAATTAGAATATTGATTATTAAGGTTAATGATTTGTTCAATTCATCTCAAAATGTTTTTCATATTAGTGGTAAAAAGTTGTTAGCAATGATATCATTTGCTGGTATAAGGATATAGAGCAGGGAATTCTTTTTGACAATTAACGGTGGTTTTTTTCTTTTTCTTGGCACGTCCGCAGGTGCTCCGTTAACTCTATGGGTTGGGATTAGCGATTCGTTTTTTTTCCTGCCACAAATGTTTATTTCTTAACGGAAGCGTGCGGGTTTACATCAAACGCAAACTTTTCGTGACATATTTACACTACATGCTTTTCATGTGTCTACATAAAAGAACACTTTGTGATTAAGTCTCAATTTCACGCGAAAATGATTATAACTTCTCTATATTTAAACTCGGATAGAGTCAATTTCTGAAGCTCATTTGGTTTATAAAAAAAAAAAAGAAAATAAGTTTAGGAGACGTGAGCCTCTTTTGACAAGAAGATGGTCATCGAGTTTGAATCAACTCATGTAGTGATCACTGCCGTCCTCTTACTACTTGTCGTTGTGGACATCGCCGGCAATACACTTGTTTGTTTGATTATAAAAAGGCATCTTCAAACGAGGTGTGTGCAGAATGTAAGAATACGGAAACAAGTCCATTTACTCCTAGATTTTAGAAATGCAGATTGAGAGGTCGTCTTTCTTACAGTTCCATCCATGTACCTTTTTTTCATTAAGAATTAAAACTATCGTATGCACAGCTTTTTGAACACGCTTTTTTATTTCGAAGAATCACCATAAATTACCTTCTTGTGAACCTGGCTGTCTCCGATATTCTGTTCGCAACCTTTATTACACCAAAGGTTATCGTCAGCCTCAATCTAAGGCAGCCAAATGGAGTGGCAGGTTTAGTCCTTTGCAAACTGCTGACTGGAGGGAATCTGGCTTGGATTCCCGGAATTACCTCAGTTTTTACTTTGGTGGCGATCTCCTTTGAAAGATATTACACCGTGGTTTATCCGCTTGATCCAAATAGAAAACTGACCCAGCATAAACTGAAGGTAAGTTGAAGGCAAAGTGACCATTAGTGGCTCAGTATGATTCAGTAAATAGTGACTTCACTTTGAAGACCGGTTACGTAAGAAGACCTTATAGTAGTTTCAAGCAACGAATTAGAGTATGTAGACAAAGGGAAAGAATCTTTCATCCATTCCCATGAGCACGCAATCATTTATTTAAAAGGACCAAACTTGGGAAGTAAAAGATACTGACGTTTTTATTTCATTATTTTGCAGATAATTGTTCTTTGCTCGTGGGCATTTTCAGCAGTTTTTAACTTGCCCAAGTTTCTTACGCGAACTTTTGATGAACAGAAAAACCATTGTATTCAAAGCTGGCCTAAAACGTGGATGATTACAACATACTGTTTGGCATGGCTGTTGTTAGTTATTGCTTCGGCTGTTACCATGATTGTACTTTACTCCAAAGTCGTCTACACTTTGTGGTTTAAGTCTAATGAAAACAATCCTTTAAACCATAAACAACAAGTAGGTTCTAATTGCAGTTTTCTGATGGTTATTTTTTTCATACATAGAGCATACCCCTAACTTAGGCTTTTTTGCTGGCAAACCTGATCGAGGGTACTATTGTAAACTGACCGTTAAAGCCTTGGCAAGAAAATAGTTGCCCTCAGCTTTTAGTCATGTTTTACTCAAGGAAACTGTTTGCCAAATGTAGATACCTCACTTTTTTCATCTGTGGGTAGGCAAAAATATGCGAAGAAATTAAAGAGGAAGGATCATTGGTAAACGTTCAGCTTGAACGTACATATACTTAATTTTGCTTAAGACATACTTTATGAACAATTATATGCTTGTTACAGAACAGTCAAAAGACAAGTTAAAGCTAAAAAAAAGAAAGATGAAATTCTCCTCTCTTGTCAATCTCCATCTAATTATTTTCTCAACTTTGAGACAAAATTTTTCACTGAAAGTGAAACCTTGAAGGAATTATCGAGAATATTTTTGTTTTCCTTTTAAATGACGATCTTATAAAAGGCCATTTGCTGAATGGTATGTTTATTTCTTTTCTCAATTTCCAGAGTGTGCTGAGGGTTCGAAAACGCGTCACTCTGATGGTCATAACGGTCAGTTTCATCTTTGCAGTTTGTTGGGGAACCGAATCAATCGAATACATTTTAAGATTTCTCACATCTCTCGAAATCAGCTTTGTTCAAATAACTATTGTTGACATGATGGTTTTGTTCAATTCAGCTGTAAACCCCTTTGTGTATGCCCTCCTGAATCATCAGTTCAGGCAGAAGATCAAGGGAGTGATGTGTTGCACACGCCTCGTGGCGCCCAGGCCGCGGGCTGAAACAGCTCTGGAGACTAAGCTTTAATTCAATGTACAATTAACCTTGACCTATTCATGTTTTGAACGCATGTAAGATTGTTTTTTTTATTATTATTATTTCAAACATTGCGGACCTACAGGGAAAGTCTGACCGGTATATTGTGAATGAGCCCCAGAAATCTATCAACTATTGTTTTAACGGGCTTCAAAACTAAGCCAAAAGGGTTTGTATACCTATATGCATGCCCTGGATCTTGTATATTGGTAAGCTTTTTGCACTTTAAACGAATATTTTACAGTTTATCGTTCAATACTGTTTTATGTGAAGCTTATCCTAGGTTTCACTACTTTACAGGGTTTTTCACGGATTTTAGCCCAACAGCGGAAGTTGATGCCAACTACTTATTCACATTTTAGCTCTATTTGTTTAGAGTTTGAGGTGAAATTGGCATATATTTTCTAAATGTGTTAAGTGGGAAGTGACGAAAGGCATAGTATTTCTAAAGGTACAAGGAAAAGTGTATCGACACAAAATCGATCATAAGGTAGATACTGTCAGTTTAAAAACATTTTACACGCATGAAGCTCTTGGCTTTATGTCTTGCGCAGCAAAAAACATCTTTTGCAGTTGTTTTACTCATATGTAAGCTGCATCGTATTCTTTTAGTTCAGCTTTGCAAGCGATCATCACTCCGTAAATTAAACGGTTGAAGCCGTTTTTTTGCATCAACTCATACCAAATTCTTCCTCCTCTTGTTTGAGACAAACTGAATGGATCGATTTGGTTTTTTGACAACTGGCAAAGATCTGCGTCTGGGTAAATTTAGTGCACACTCGCTTTGACATATTGCATAGGATAATGTATGAGACTACCACCAGCTGAATCCATTTATTTTTAAGTTTATGTCAATAATGACAAAGAATGTCTGCTTTTGAGATTAAAATACGTGCTAATAGCAAACAATTGGTCTACTGAGCAAGACTTTTCATTGTATGATTTCTAACGCTTCAGCCATATGGTGTTCGTTTCCTCAAGTTTTCTCCAGATCAGGTAAGTGCGACGCCTCCTCGTTCTTGATTCGGCATGTGCAAAATTCTGCTTTCTTAACATGTCGGTAATATCTATATTTGTCTCAAGCTCTTTCTTTCACTTCCTTATTATTGTTTTGCATGAAGCATTTAAGATATTAAGGCAAAAAGTGATAGATAATCGGTCATGAAATTACGGTATGGACACCTCATTGGATTAACGATACCTACTTATGTGCGCCTTTACATATATCACCTCGTTTTGTGAACTATTGTCACTTTTCTCATCGAAATTTTACACATGTAGCCGGGAAAATTTACAAATCGCATCGGACTTTTCTGAGAAGTCGTCATCGTCGCTATCTGAACGTTCGAGTCCAGATAGCAGTTTTTTACAATAGCCCCTGTATGTGCAACATTGTAAACCACATATCAACGGCCTGGCCCGTTTTGATTGTATCATCTCTAAGCAAAGATTCTTGTCATTATACTTTCATTAATCTTATTCATGTTTTTATATTCAACGCGTCTGAGCTAGGCGTAAATTGGTATCGCATGATGTTATTCGTTTGAAAGAGTTGAAGTAATTTCCCGTTGTTTAGCCACAAGTCTTTTGTTTTAGAAGTGGAAGCCATCGTTGAATTGGCTAGATCCTTAACGGATTTCACTAGATTAATTGATTTCAAGATTACGCTATTTCGATTTTTAACAGGTGAGACGTTCCTAGTTCTATTTAATGATATGATTAAAATGTTGTGATAATCTTGTGACGTTTGTATCCTAGTGAATAGAACCTTAGATTAGCTGTATCTGAATATCTGTCGGACAGATAGTACAAAACCCGATAAAAGTATAGCAAATGTTGACTTCAATAAAGCATCGCGATATATGTCTCTTTATCTCGTTATTTATTTCGTTTTTTATTCTACTTCCGCTTAATTTTTGGTTGAACTTTGAAAGCTGAAAGGTTTTTAGTTCTCAGACCGTCCTCATTTATAGCGAAGTGATCGTGTCCATTCTCGAAAAGGCGCCAAAAATGAAACTTAAAGAACATGATATGGGTTGCTTGCAATATGCCAACTTAGCTTTCGTTTACTTGCGAACATGAAATAACAAAAAAAAAAACCGAATGATATGGCTGCATGTGTTGATAATTTTTTGGCAGAGAACTAACTCTTGAGTCACTATGGTCAAGTACGAGGTTTCTTCCATCGTGATTACCACTGTGCTCATGATCCTGGTCGTTTTGGTCGTCACAGGCAATATAGTTGTTTGTTTGATTATCAAGAGAAATCGACAAATGAGGTAAGTCGCCGATAATGATAGATCAGTCCAGTTGGTGCGTTTTTATTTTTTTTGGTATAATTAGATTGAGACCGTTGCTTGTAGATTTCTTGCTTGCTTATATATTTTAAAATCTAGCATCATGTCTACCTTTTTTTGACTCCAAAGGACTCCCATAAATTATTTACTCATGAACCTGGCTGTCTCCGATATTCTGTTTGCGACGTTTATTACAACAAAACTTATTTTCGGCTTGAATTTGAGCCACCCAGAGGGAGCAGTAGGTTCCATCCTGTGCAAGTTGGTGACTGGCGGAAATTTTGCTTGGATTGCTGGAGTTTCTTCAATTGTTACTTTGGTTACGGTTGCCGTCGAAAGATATTACACGGTAGTATATCCAATGGATCCAAATAGAAAAATGACTAAGCCTAAACTGAAGGTGAGTTGTTAATAAATTGGTGGCACACTGGAGGAGGGTGGTTGCCCCTCAGCTTTACTGACTTTTGTACTTTTACGACGAGTTTTTTTTCCTATTCCCGTATACTATCGTTACGTTCTTCTCGTAAGCCTGCCAATGCCACTTGATAGCTGGAGAAATGATTGTGCGTATACAGGCTACGAAAACTGACTAGGCTCATGAAAGGAATCATCGTGGGGAAATGAAAAGGAACTCGTGTAAAAGCGAGATGAAAATTAATAAGTTTCCCAGATCAGCAGAAGTAGCGCCGGAAATTTGGCGCCAGTGAAAAATGCAATTTAGTCGTGAGAGCACCTGCGTGCAAAGAAGTGACTCATTAAACAAGAAACTTTTATATATTTTTCGTTGTTATTCATTCTCAAAAACACTCACTCGCACTTTTTGCTTTCACTTACCTTTCTAGGTGATCCTTTTTTGTTCTTGGATATTCTCGGTGATTTTTAACATACCCCTCCTTCTTGCCCGTACTTATGAGAGGAAAGATGGGACAAATCATTGTGTGCTAAGCTGGCCCGAAAAATGGATGTCCACAGCCAGTTGTTTATCATGGGTGTTCTTGATTGTGACAGCTATTGGTTTGATGATTACTCTTTACTCTCAAGTCGTGTGCTCTTTATGGTTGAAACCAAAGAGTTGCTTTCCTTTAAGCTTTGAACAACAAGTAAGGGCTTAAGTCAAAACTTAATTTCTCTAATTATACATGGCAAAAAGCACTTTAAAAATGAATGGCGAAAAATTCCAAGAAAATCTCGTACCACTCTCCCAACGGTTTGTTTTACCTTTAAGTGCTCATCTTTAACATTTTTCGTGACATTTCCCCTTCACTAATAGTGCAAGGTATTTTTCTTCGGTTTTGTTCCAATGATACTCAGACGGAACGGACAAAATTTTGGCGGTGCGTGTACGCTATTTGCAATTCGCACTCGTGTAACAACTTTGCATTCGTGTTACATGAAAAATGCAATCATTTTCAGCCAATCAGACGCGGGTATTTTTTTTACGTTTATTACTATTCGTTATAACTAACCTCGGGAACTAAAACGTTTTACTCCTCATTTTGATCAGATGATCCACATCTCGGTGACCATTTTTGGGCATTTCTTAATAATCGATAGCCCAATTGTAGTCTTTCTTCTATGCCATCACCTTCAATAAAAATATGTAAGATACCATTTTGAACGAAACCTAGATTAAATGAAAACTTCCGGCGTCCAAGACAGGACTAGTAAAAGTAGGAAATCTCTCATAGATCACACGTTCACTTGCTTTGATTTTTGCCGAAAAGAGGTCTTGACGAGAAATGAAGAAATCGATTGTCAAAATTTATTTAGAATGACTATGTTTGTCTTCTGTATTTACAGGGTGTGATCAGGGTGCGAAAACGTATCACTTTCATGGTTATAACAGTCAGTGTCATTTTCGTAGTTTGTTGGGGAGCAGTGTCGGTTGAATACGTCTTAAGGACTTCTACCACCCTTCAAGTGACGTTTGTACACATTGCCATTGTCGACATATTGGCGTTGTTCAATTCAGCTGTCAACCCTTTCCTGTATGCCCTCCTGAACCATCAGTTCAGACAAGAGATCAGGGGAATGATTTTCGGCACACACATAGCAGCACCTAGGCCAAGAGCTAAAACCAACGAGAAAAGTACTACCGTGGAGACTAAACATTAGTTGGTTGCATAGTTGACTTAATCGATTTAAAAATAGATATTTGTCACAAGGAGGAGTGTCTTAGAGCTAGAGATTACTTGTAAATTAAACAAATGGAGAGTAATTATGGTAGTGTTTGTATCCTTAGGATACCTCACAATCGCTAAATGGTATGTGAAATGCACACATCAGCTTAGAGGTCATCTTGAAAATTAAGAGCTTGATCAAGCACTTTTAAATATTTACCTGAGTATGATTTTTCTGTCGTAAAATTTAGCAGCAAAGACTTTCGAAGTTTCCAATCAAGTACTACTAGTTGAAATTGTGACAGAATCCGCTGGTAAGCTACACCACCCACATAAACCACGACCATGGTTAGATTTTGTTTAAAAACTAGTCACGGAATATTTATCCATATCGATTCGAAACCTGTAAGAAAGGTTTCGTAATCTGGGACATTGACTGTGAATACATATGAACTATATACGTGAACTTTGGTTTGAGAAATTAACAGGAAAGCGATCTTGGCAGTAATAAACACTACTTAAGCAGTAATGAAAGTAAGGCATGAAAAAATTCAGTGTACGGGATTTGAACATGTTACCTCTGCAGTACCAGTGCAGTACTCAACCACGTGTCGTCCATTGTCACTATGATTGTGTTATACTCTCAGGTCATTTCATCTCGTGGTGTGATCCTAATGTCGGTAATTTATTAAACTATAAACAACAAGTGAGTTTTTGATCATCATTATTTTTTCAAAAACGAAATGGCATCATAAACCCATTCTGACCTAGCCTTTGAGCTTAGACACTTTTCAGGAACCTCTGAGTGTAGATATGGAAAATTGAAAGACAGTTTCACATTTCAGGATTAGATTTACAAACCAGAGTTGTCAAATGAATCCTTCAATAGGGATGCCTTCGATCTCAAACTGTAATGAAATGTCTCACAGAAATGTCTCACCGCCGAATCCCCCCCTCCCTCCTTAAACAAATTTTTTTTATCATAAGGCCTGAAAGAAGTCACGATTTGCGAGGGTGTGTTGAGGCTGCGTTTGGCTGATCAAGATATCCCTCGGAGGCTCTTAGTTTGCCCATCTAACTTTAGTGAAATCTCAACAAAGAGAACCTTAGTGGACGCCTTTTGTTGCTAGGACCTAAAATATCTGCTGTAAAAAGAAACCTGTCTTAGCGGATAACCTTACTATTTGGTCGCGGAAGTCAGATTAGAGCCCTTCTGTTATTCGAAAAGTTAACATAACGGACACCTCAAGAGTTTTTGCTGTTGATTTAATATCTTATATTTCAAGAAAACTGCACCGTTTCAAAACCGTTACGAGTTAGCTTGTTAATCAATATTAGGGACTTTAAGATTGCCGACTACGTTTGGCTACGACGGTTAGATGTGTCTTCGGTAGACTGGGTCGAGTACCGTTAAAGGGCGCGAAAGTTTAACGCTTGTTGTCCTTTAAGATTTTGCCGACAGACAGAAGACGGTGGTTAACTTGTCAATCAATTCCCCATTCGCTCTCAACGTCCAGCAGCCGAGCAGGGTTTTTAAACGCTCCGTGTCTGGCAATAAATTTTTTTACAAACTCTTCTTGGAAAGAGCTTTCAAAATTCTTAGAGTATCAGATGTTTCTTTAGAAATGTCAAGCGATTTCAAAAATTATTTTGGTTTTTAGTTGACCAATTTTCTGAGCTTGTGATTACACATACGATTCTATGATATAGACAAGCTCGGGAAAATTTGTCCTCCTAAAGGGCATCGTAAATTTTGGAATCGCTTGGCATTTCTAAAAAAAATCATCGAGCACTTGCATTAGGTTTGCATGGGGTATTCTCTGAGAATTTGGAGAATATTTTTGACTACCGGCACGGTCTCGATAGACTAGGTCAGAAATGTTTTGTAAGTGTCGAAAAACTTGCCATTTTACATTGTGCTCAAGCTTAGAAAATTCCTCCACATAAAACCCAAATTAAGTTTTAAAATCGCTTGACATTTAAAATAAAACATCTAATACTCTTACGATATTTGAAAGAACATTTCAGGAGGCGAACCAAAAGCTTGTGACACGCAGACAAAGAGAAGCAGTTGATGTTCTACCCTATTAAAAACCGATTACTGAAAACAGAAAACACAAACAGGAACTATGTTGCTAGTCCAAACCAAGGCCAGGAGAGAAACCCAAACAAGAACACCACTAGTAAAACCCAAACAGAAACTATGTTGTTCCTAATGAATATAGAAACCAATCTTCGCAGTTATAAACACTACTGATCTAGTAGTTCAAATCCCGTACAGACCTAATTTTTTTCAGCCTTATTTCAACTACTAGTTCAGTTCAAATAAGGCCTAACAAAAAAATTACAACTACCGTACATGAAGCTTCTACCTAAAGTACACAAACTGGACAAACCCGCTTCACCAGACAACAACTCGAAACTTTGAGGATCGATTCTATATTCGTTCTCGTATTCAACGTGTCTGAGCAAAATGTAAATTGGTAATGCACAATATAGTTTGTTTTAAAGGTTTAGAGTAATTTCCTGCTATTTGGCCTCAGGTTTACTGCGAAGTGGAAGCTTTGAATGGATTGGAACTTATCCAGATTTGTCTGAGTTAATTAGTTTTAACACCACTCCGTTTTAACATAAACAGGTGAGCCATTCTAAGTTATCTTATTTCAACTACTAGTTCAGTTGAAATAAGGCGTGAAAAAAAAAATTACAACTACTGTACATGAAGCTGCTAACTAAAGTACACAATCTGGTCAAACCCGCTTCACCAGAAATCTCTAAACTGCGAGGATCGATTCTATATTCGTTCTCGTATTCAATGTGTCTGAGCAAAATGTAAATTGGTAATGCACAATTTTTCTAAGGTGAAAATTAATTCCCCGCTATTTGGCCTCAGGTTAAATGCGAAGTGGAAGCTTTGAATCTATTGGAACTTATCCAGATTTGTCTGAGTAAATTAGTTTTAACACTACTCCGTCTAAACTTAAACGGGTGAGCCATTCTAAATTATCTTTTTAAGATATTGCTAAAAATGGTGCGGTAATCTGGTAATGTTTATATTCTAGGAATGGTCATCAGTCGGTTGTTACCGAGTGAATAGAGTATAGTTCAGGCCCCGGTTGTTCGAAGGTTGGATCAGAGCGCTATCCACTGGATAAAACTCTATCTGGTGCATAACGCTATACTGGATAGCTATACTGGATCGCTGGATAGTGATTTATACGTTGGATAGCGTTTATATAACGCCCTTTATACAACTAAACCCAGCTGTATTTGCCAGCAGCGAAGTAGACAGATTTTGTAAAACGTAATGAACACATACCTCATGTCGAATTCGATGAAACGTTTCGATATGAACCTTTCTTTTGGAAACAGATAATTTAATTGGCTTCGAAAGTTTAAACGTTTTCATATCTTGAACCGTCTCCTTTTGTAATTGAAGTGGTCTTGTATTTCTATACTTGGTACTGAAATTGAGACCTGTCGTGATATAGCTTGCTTAAGACGCGCTTAATGAGCGTTCGTTTCTTTTGTGAACATGACACGATAATAAAGATTGATATAGCTGCATGCTGTTGATGATATTCAGGCTGAGAACCGACTCTTGAGTCACAATGGTGGACTGCGAGGTTTCTTCTGTTGTGATTACCACTGTGCTCTTAATCCTAGTCATTATGGACATCACAGGCAATACACTTGTTTGTTTGATTATCAAGGGAAATCGTCAAATGAGGTATGGCTCAGGGATTGATAGAGTAATAACCTAGATACATTTTCATTATACTGGTGAAGTTCGATCGTGACAGAGTTGTTTGTAGATTCCTTTCATTGCGATCAGACTTCTTTCACATTGATTCATCGTTGTTATTATTTTTTTTCCCTCAACTCTAAAGGACTCCTATAAATTATCTGCTTATGAACCTGGCTATCTCCGATGTTCTCTTCGCGATTTTTATCGCACTAAAGCTTATCGTCAGCTTAAGTTTAAGTCACCCAGATGGAGTAACGGGTTCTGTCCTCTGCAAGCTTGCGACTGGTGGAAATCTGGCATGGATTTTTGGAGTTTCTTCAGCCGTTATTTTGGTTGTGATTTCTGTCGAAAGATATTATTCTGTGGTGTATCCCAGTAGGTAATTTAGTGTTAACAACTGGGTTGAAAACATAAATTAGCCACCGTAAAGGGTAAAAAAGCTGACGTTTCGAGCGTTAGCCCTATCGCTCTGACGAAGGGCTAACGCTCGAAACGTCAGCTTTTTTACCCTTTACGGTGGCTAATTTACGTTTTCAACCCAGTTGTTAACACTAAATTACCTGCTATACTCTCCCACCGACGCAGCACCACAGTTTCTTTAGAAACTTACCCCTTTATTCATTCCCAGTAGGGTTTATTACAACATATTTGTTCTCATGCTTTTCATTGTTATACTATCGTTCCACGTTCCTTGAAAGCTTTGTAACGCCACTCGATAACAAAAGAAATGACTCTGCTTTCACAGGCTTTGAAAGCTGATCACGTTTATTTAAGGAATGGTCTTGAGGATATAAATTAGAATACGTCTAAAATCGTGATAAAAAGTATTATTTTTGCATTTTGGCGTCGGTAGGGCATAGTGACAGAAAGATAGAATTTAGCTACGAGATTGCCTGCAGAGAAAGTGACGCATTCAACGAGAAACGACGAAATATTTTTACCTCCCCTCGCTTTACATCTCACCAGTTTCTAAACACATTGACTCACACATCTTCTTGTTATTTGATATATTTCAGATTACCGTTTTTGGTTCTTGGATATTCTCGGTGATTTTTAACTTACCTCTCCTTCTTGTCGGTACCTATGAGAAGTAACATACCAAAACCACAAACACCACTGTGTATAAAGCTGGCCCCATAAGTGGATGTCCTCGACATATGGTTTTGCATGGTTGTTGCTGTCCGTTGCGGCTGTTGGTTTGATGATTTCTCTTTACACTCAAGTCGTGTTCCACCTGTGGTTCAAACCAAGTGATGGCTTTCCTTTAAGCTGTAAACAACAAGTGCGTGCTTAAGTCAACATTTCTCTTACTTAATTATCCATGGCATGAAACAGTTTTTTGTCGAGTGCCGAAAGTAGTGCAGGATCAAAGCTACTTCAGAATAATATTTGTAGGTTTTTTCTCATTTAATATCAAGAATTCATCACCCAAGTTCCTCTCAGAGTATACTAGCATGAAAAACTTTTCGAATCGAGGTTCTTAAAAATCAATTGCCCATTAGTTATTGCCCTGGCCTAGACAAGAGTTCAGAACTGTTTTTCCTTCCTCTATGCCATTACCTTTCATGGAATTGAAGATTATAAAATTTGTTTTAGCATGACAAGGAGGGATTTCGCGTCATAAAGTCATGTAAATTTAGGGCATTACGGCAGTTGATGATTACGTCCAATCTGCAGACTAAAGGAACCTAAATGGAAATCGTCGGGAAAAAGCGGAGTTTATTTAGATTAGGAACACTCCCATCGATCACATGTTTATTTGCTTTGACTTTTGCTGAGAAAGAAGCCTTGGTGAGAAATCAAGGACTTGATTTTGCATTTACCAGAATTTCCTTTTTTTTTTATTAATTACAGGGTGTGTTGAGGGTTCGGAAACGGGTCACCTTGATGGTAATAACAGTCAGTGTCATTTTTGCAATTTGCTGGGGAGCAGAGTCAATTGAATACATCCTAAGGAATATGAACTCCCTCAACATCCGCTTTGTGCACATTGCCATTGTTGACATGATGGTGTTGTTCAATGCAGCCGTCAACCCTTTCGTTTACACCCTAATGAGCCATCAGTTCAGACAAAAAATCAGGGGAGTGATCTGCTGCCCAAGTGCTTCTGTAGCACCCAAGCCAAAGCTGCTAAGGAAAATAAGGGTATAGAGACCAGGTTATAGTCGTTAACATACCTGATTTCATCTGTTATCAAAATAGAGCATAATTTCACTTTCTATTTAGGAATAGAGAGGTTATGTGGCTAAATGCCCGGCAGCCACGCACGGTTTTAAATAAACTGTAGTTCCTTCAAACTTGTAAATAATATTAGACGTTAGTTTTAGAAATGTCAAGCGATTCCAAAAACTAATTTTTCTTTGAGTGGACAAATTCTCCGAGCTTGTGCATCCTATAATATCGCTCGGTTGTCGCCACTTAGAAATTCCTAGCATGTGGTTACACTGCCGGTTACGGTCTTAATGGACTATATGACCAGCAGTAAGAAATTTTTACAAAAATGCCACCGAAAACTCCATACAAATGAAACTTATTGAGTATATTCGATGTTTGTTTAGAAATGCCAAGTGATTAATTCCAAGAATTGTGTTGGTTTTTCCAGCGGTCAGCGTACCATACTAAAACACATATGCCATAAAGTCTGGGAGGTCACTTTGGTTGCGTATAGAATGTTGCCTTTGACTCCTTTCTTGAGTGATATAAAGGGCTACCTACGTCAGAACAGCTTCAAGTTCGGTAAATGTGGAGAGAAGACAATGCAGAAAACCTAAATAAACCTGTTTAGAAAATTCGGTGTTTGTTTAGATATCCCAAGTGATTCTAAATACTTCTTTGTTCTTTGGTGGTCAAATTTTCCCTTCCAAGCCTATAAAACCGAAAAATCGCTTGTTTGTCGACACTTGAACAGACCACCGAGCACGGTGTGTCATATTTGAAGTAAAACGCTTCGAAACCCTTCAATGAAATTTTGAGAGATATCAATTTCTAACTGTCGGGCATTCAGTCTATTTAAGACCTTACTCGATTGCCGGGCATTTAGCTTCAGTGATATCATTTTGTAAAATGAACGAACGGAGACTTACATTTGGTGGTGTTCATTTATTCAGGAATACTCTCAATGCCTAGATGACTCGTGAAATGTACGTCTATCTAGATGTCAGCTTGAAAATTAGGTGGATTCGATCGATAAGTTTGACTCATTTGCCCCAATATTGTACTTTTTAAAATGGGTCAGCAACAGTGGCATTGCAAAAATATTACCCCAAAACTGCTTCATCTGCACGAGCACATTCTTTCCAGCACGAACGACACTAAGACGTAATCAAAACAATAAAATGGCGAAAACAAACATTTTCAAATTGTGTAATTTTACGAAACTAGATTAAGGAGGGTTCAAATTATACATTTATCTTAGATATAACTACAATTTACTCAACTTTATTTAAATTTTACAAATATTTCATTCTTATTTATTTGCTTTACTTTTAGTGTTGTCCTTATATACGCTTTACTCATTATCATATCTAATGACCTGAAAAGCAATTCTTTGGAAAAGCTGTTCCCGGTTTCGTATTCATTAGTTTTATCCTGAGTTACAAAAAATAAGGTGACATTCTTTTTGTAATTATTCTGTTGTAGTCAGGGCCAGAACAGTGCCATTCTATAATAATATATCCAATTTTTCGCCAAGGTACACAATTAAGTTCTTTAATCATTCCCTTGCCGTGACGAAAAAATAATGTTGAAAATAATCAGCCCTCCAGAATCCAAAAAGTCAAAACTCTTTCCCTCGGTGGTGACTATTTGATAGGAGATATTCCTCCGACAGGAGACCTAAGAAAACTTTAGAACGAAACACTCTGGTATATAACATGATTTAGAACATGATATTCACAGTCTTCTTTACTCAATTACATCTACAGTACATTTCCTTGTGTTTCTTGGAAATCAAACTAGGAATTCGAGGGAACATGAGGGAAACTAGCCAACCGGAATCAAGCACTGCTAGCGTTTTAGCCTAGAATGCTCTCCTTAAAATAGGACAGCAGAGCTCTGAGTGTTTTACTTTTTAGCATAACGTCTTTCTCCTTCAAGGAAAATTTGAATGCGATAAATACTGGGTGGCGATATTGTTGGTTGGTTGTTTGTTAAGTTGAATCATTTTGAGGTTTTCAGCGGCATGAATTCGTGCCATCGTGGGATTGTCACAGATGAACATCCGTTTTATCTTTTCCTTGAACTGATGATTCATGAGAGCGAATATAAACGGGTTAAGTGCCGAATTAAACACAACCATTGTGTCAGCTATAGCCACGTGAAGAGAACTGATGTCAAGCGATGTATATGCTCTCAAGAAAAATTCTACTGATTCTGTTCCCCAGCAAATTCCAAAGAGAAAACTAACCGTAACTACCATAAAGGTAGCACGTTTGCGGCTCTTCATGACGCCCTGCGTTAAAAAAAAAAGTGAATAATGGAATAAAATAAGGGACGATGCAATATTTGTGGCGACACATTCGTAGCAGGAGGAGATCTAACACATAGGACCTCGGACTATCACATAGCTGCTGTGCGGGAATATGAGTCCGTGCTGCTCTCTCTCCCCCCCCCCCCCCCCCTGCCCCCCGGCGCTTACTAGGAGAAATCGTTCGACGGCTAAGTGCTTTGGTTGGGGATCATTGTAAGGAGAACTTTGAATTAAGTGGCTCATAAGAAGTAACAAGCCGGGTGATACTCAGGGGCAGGAAACGTTAAGATTCTCGCCATGGGGAGGCTTTGGGCTTTGGGCTTTGGGCTTTGGGCTTTGGGCTTTGGGCTTTGGGCTTTGGACCCAAAGAAACACGCATATACAAAATTATTTTTTTTAGTGAGCGCTTACCTTCTGTATGTTGGTTGGTGAATTGTCCTGTTCGCACCACAAAGCGTTCACAACTCTGGTGTATAAGGCAACCATTAACGCCAAAGTAATTATTATTAAGACTAACCAAACCGAACTATAAGCCTTAGCCATCCAATCCTCAGGCCACCGTTGTTCACAAGAATTGCCCTTCCTATTTCTTACCAGAAATAAAGGGGTGGTAAGAATTAAAGAGAATGTCCAAGAACACGGGATAATTAGCTGTGTAAAAAGTAAGATATTGAAGTCAGCATATCACAAAGCTACATTAGCTATCGTTGAAGATGTTGGTTCAGTCCAATTGAGATGTTTAGAAACTACCTTCTTAAAAACATATCAGAAATCCCCCTGCACTTACATGTGATTAAATCGAAAGATTATTATCGTTGATCTGTTATCTGTCCTTACAGACTCACCTTCAGTCTACGCTTGCTAAGTTTTCTTTGACTTTCAAAGGGATGTACGACTGCGTAATAACGTTCTATGGCGATTATGACGAGGGTGACAATAGATGACGCACCTCCTATCCATGCCACATTTCCACCAGTCACTAATTTGCATAACACGGAACCAGTAGTGCCATCTGGATGATCTAAAGCGAGGCTGAATATTACTGTTGGCGCCAGAAAAGTCGCAAACATGATATCTGCCACAGCCAGATTCACTAGCAGGTAATTTATGGGAGTCCTTCAGAACCAACAAAACATTGAATAAGTACTTTATAATTTATTGCTGACATCTGCTCAGGTCTTAAAAAATAATAAAGGGTATCAATTATGTCGTTTTATGCATAGTCGAGCACGTATGCAAAAACGCAAAGATTTCCAAGCGGAAGTTGAGTTCTCTTCGCCCGTCTTAAGTCCCGGCCTTCTAAATAATCTTTGACTCTAAAACCACCAACGGCGATTAATTGCAATGACTTATCTTCCATTTGTAGAACGAAAAAGATCTTCATACGTAACAACTTATCTTAACACTGAAAATGCAGTTTCTACTAGTGTTGGTACCTCATATCTCTATGCTTTTTCACAATCAAACAGACAAGTGAATTCCCCACAATGTCTGCAGTGACGAGTATGACGATTATAATTGTCAGGGCAATTGATTCAGGCATTTTCTCGAGATGAGCTGTGAGACACACTTATCTCCCGGGTTTCGTTCTACGTCTCCAGCTCTTAAGAGAAGTGACCTGACTGGATTGAAACTGGATGAGCTGTTGGGGTAGTAGCCTGGACGGCGAAAGCCGAATTTCCTTTTGACGATAGGCCATGATGTAATTCCACGTGGTGTAAAGAAGTGAGCTCGAAATTGCTACCTGAGCGAAGAATTCGTCTTAGAGACTTCGTTGTATCCTCTGTAATCTAAGTTAGATGAACGATCCTCTATTACTTGCCATTGCTGAGTCCAGAAGAGGTGTATAAATACGATGAAAAATAGAGCTCGTAATAATGCGTCCTCCATGTTGTCCGAGCTTTAACGATGCCAACGGTGGCCAAATTACGTTATCAACTTAGTTGGTAATAATAAATTTCCTTGTTATACTCTTCCACCGACGCAGTACCATAGTTTTTTTAGAAACTTACCCCCTTTAGACAGTTGTTCACTCATCAGTAACCTTAGCATAACATTTGGATATTTCTACATGGCCGCGAATATTAAAATTAACATGATTATGAAAAATTCAGTTTTTCAGTTCTCTGTGTCTGATTTTCGTTAAGTTAAACCCGGTCCAACTAATCGTGTTCTTCTGGTGTGAATGGGGCCAAATAGTCATGAGTGTCCGTTATCAGTGTGCTTTAAATAAACAAAAAAAAAACAAACAAACAAACAAGCAAAAACAGAACAGTTTTTTGAAGAATGTACAGGTTTCTGCTTTTTAGTGAACGGGAGTCTAAATATTAAAAAAATATGTTTTTGTTGTTGCAAATTTGATCATTTCTTGGTAAACTTTATTGTTATTCTTAAGTTTGCAGAACATAATCTTCCATTAGTTAGTTCATCGCCGTAATAATCTGAGGGTATCGCGAGTAAACTTTCCCTGACATGTTTGCGATAAGCAGCTGTTCTATCGTTGGAAAACGATTTCCCACGGTTTAGGTCATAAGTGTCTTAAAAAGTGTCGATTGGTATATGGCGCTGAAATTAAAAAATTAATATCCAGTGCTTTTGTAAATTTTTTTGATGTCCTTGCAATTATCATTGAAAGCAAAAAGAAAAAGAAGCGTTGGACAACTCTATTTTGTTAATTCTATGCAGATGGTTTCATTTCTTCAGACAAATTTAAATTTTGAGCGGAAATATGTGATCTGGTTTTGATAATTTTTTTTTTAATACAGAGTACTCTTCTAAACACAGAAATTTCAATAGCAAGGCAATTCTATTTCTTAAAAATTAAAGCAATACCTTTTTTTTGCGTTTTTTTTCAGTGGTAGTGAAACGGGCAATATCGCACTGTAATCCTTGTGTGCCATATATGAAGTTTGCATACCACTTTTCATGACTAGTAAGCGAATACAAAGTAAACTCTGTTGACAGCTACAGGAAAACTCTATTCCATAAGGGGAGAATAATTTCCCAAAGTTTTCCTTAATGATCTTGGTTAGTGAAGAGAATTAGAATATTGAGTATTAAGGTTTGTTCAATTCATCTTAAAATGTTTTTCATATTAGTGGTAAAAAGTTGTTAGTAATGATATCATTTGTTGGTATGAGATATAGAGCAGGGAATTCTCTTTGACAACTAACGGTGGTTTTTTTTTCTTTTTCTTGGCAAGTCCGCAGGTGGCCCGTTAACTCTATGGGTTGGGATTAGCGATTCGATTTTTTTTCCTGCCACAAATGTTTATTTCTTAATGGAAGCGTGCGGGTTTACATCAAACGCAAACTTTTCGTGACATATTTACACTAAATGCTTTTCATGTGTCTATATAAAATAACACTTTGTGATTAAGTCTCAATTTCACGCGAAAATGATTATAACTTCTCTTTATTTAAACTCGGATATAGTCAATTTCTGAAGCTCATTTGGTATGGCGACCTTTCCCTAAGCTTTAAAAAATAAGTTTAGGAGATGTAAGCCTCTTTTGACAAGATGGTCATCGAGTTGGAATCAACTCATGTAGTGATCACTACCGTCCTCTTACTTCTTGTCGTTGTGGACATCGCCGGCAATACACTTGTTTGTTTGATTATAAAAAGGCATCTTCAAACGAGGTGTGTGCAGAATGTAAGAATACGGAAACAAGTCCATTTACTCCTAGATTTTAGAAATGTATGTTGAGAGGTCGTCTTTCTTACAGTTCCATTCATGTACCTTTTTTTCATTAAGAATTAAAACTCTCGTATGCACAGCTTTTTGAACACGCTTTTTTATTTTGAAGAATCACCATAAATTACCTTCTTGTGAACCTGGCTGTCTCCGATATTCTGTTCGCAATCTTTATTACACCAAAGGTTATCGTCAGCCTCAATCTAAGGCAGCCAAATGGAGTGGCAGGTTTAGTCCTTTGCAAACTGCTGACTGGAGGGAATCTGGCTTGGATTCCCGGAATTACCTCAGTTTTTACTTTGGTGGCGATCTCCTTTGAAAGATATTACACCGTGGTTTATCCGCTTGATCCAAATAGAAAACTGACCCAGCATAAACTGAAGGTAAGTTGAAGGCAAAGTGACCATTAGTGGCTCAGTATGATTCAGTAAATAGTGACTTCACTTTTTTGAAGACCGGTTACGTAATAAGACCTTATAGTAGTTTCAAGCAACAAATTAGAGAGAAGGCAGCACAGAGTATGTGGACAAAGGGAAAGAATCTTTCATCCATTCCCATGAGCACGCAATCATTTATTTAAAAGGACCAAACTTGGGAAGTAAAAGATATTGACGTTTTTATTTCATTATTTTGCAGATAATTGTTCTTTGCTGGTGGGCATTTTCAGCAGTTTTTAACTTGCCCAATTTTCTTACGCGAACTTTTGATGAACAGAAAAACTATTGTATTCAAAGCTGGCCTAAAACGTGGATGATTACAACATACTGTTTGGCATGGCTGTTGTTAGTTATTGCTTCGGCTGTTACCATGATTGCACTTTACTCCAAAGTCGTCTACACTTTGTGGTTTAAGTCTAATGAAAACAATCCTTTAAACCATAAACAACAAGTAGGTTCTAATTGCAGTTTTCTGATGGTTATTTTTTTCATACATAGAGCATACCCCTAACTTAGGCTTTTTTGCTGGCAAACCTGATCGAGGGTACTATTGTAAACTGACCGTTAAAGCCTTGGCAAGAAAATAGTTGCCCTCAGCTTTTAGTCATGTTTTACTCAAGTAAACTGTTTGCCAAATGTAGATACCTCACTTTTTTCATCTGTGGGTAGGCAAAAATATGCGAAGAAATTAAAGAGGAAGGATCATTGGTAAACGTTCAGCTTGAACGTACATATACTTAATTTTGCTTAAGACATACTTTATGAACAATTAAATGCTTGTTACGGAACAGTCAAAAGACAAGTTAAAGCTAAAAAAAAGAAAGATGAAATTCTCCTCTCTTGTCAATCTCCATCTAATTATTTTTTCAACTTTGAGACAAAATTTTTCACTGAAAGTGAAACCTTGAAGGAATTATCGAGAATATTTTTGTTTTCCTTTTAAATGACGATCTTATAAAAGGCCATTTGCTGAATGGTATGTTTATTTCTTTTCTCAATTTCCAGAGTGTGCTGAGGGTTCGAAAACGCGTCACTCTGATGGTCATAACGGTCAGTTTCATCTTTGCAGTTTGTTGGGGAACCGAATCAATCGAATACGTTTTAAGATTTCTCACATCTCTCGAAATCAGCTTTGTTCAAATAACTATTGTTGACATGATGGTTTTGTTCAATTCAGCTGTAAACCCCTTTGTGTATGCCCTCCTGAATCATCAGTTCAGGCAGAAGATCAAGGGAGTGATGTGTTGCACACGCCTCGTGGCGCCCAGGCCGCGGGCTGAAACAGCTCTGGAGACTAAGCTTTAATTCAATATACAATCAACCTTGACCTATTCATGTTTTGAACGCATGTAAGATTGTTTTTTTTTATTATTATTATTTCAAACATTGCGGACCTGCAGGGAAAGTCTGACCGGTATATTGTGAATGAGCCCCAGAAATCTATCAACTATTGTTTTAACGGGCTTCAAAACTAAGCCAAAAGGATTTGTATACCTATATGCATGCCCTGGATCTTGTATATCGGTAAGCTTTTTGCACTTTAAACGAATATTTTACAGTTTATCGTTCAATACTGTTTTATGTGAAGCTTATCCCAGGTTTCACTACTTTACAGGGTTTTTCACGGATTTTAGCCCAACATCGGAAGTTGATGCCAACTACTTATTCACATTTTAGCTCTATTTGCTTAGAGTTTGAGGTGAAATTGGCATATATTTTCTAAATGTGTTAAGTGGGAAGTGACGAAAGGCATAGTATTTCTAAAGGTACAAGGAAAAGTGTATCGACACAAAATCGATCATAAGGTAGATACTGTCAATTTAAAAACATTTTACACGCATGAAGCTCTTGGCTTTCTGTCTTTCGCAGCAACTGAAAACATCTTTTGCAGTTGTTTTACTCATATGTAAGCTGCATCGTATTCTTTTAGTTCAGCTTTGCAAGCGATCATCACTCTGTAAATTAAACGGTTGAAGCCGTTTTTTTGCATCAACTCATACCAAATTCTTCCTCCTCTTGTTTGAGACAAACTGAATGGATCGATTTGGTTTTTTGACAACTGGAAATGTGCTTCTTCTTCTCCTTTATTCATTTATCCTCTTTCGTTTATTTTTCACCTTATCTTTTTTCATTGTCTGCTGTTACTGCTAAGCTATGTCGGATGACATAATGAGTCTCCAGCACCTTAGTTATGTGCAAAAACCTGTTACATCCTTTAATTGTTAAATGTCTCATTGTCCCGATGCAGAACCTCTCTTTAAGTGTCTGAAATTTTTTAGCTTGTTTTGACAGGCAAAGGGAATTTTTATTTATATTTTGTGAAGATGAGGACTTTTTCGTGCAGTTTCCGTATGTATATTAAAACAAAGAGGTAGGCAGTACATAGATGTGTTTTCTGTTACAGTGGCATGGTGTGAAAACTAAACATTGTAAGGGACTTTGTTTCTTCAAGGATCACAAGATCTTTTTAACGTTAATTCTAGATGGTTCGCAGCTTTGGCAACTTTCCAAAATTAATTCCTTCCGTGATGCTGTTCTATCGATATTTTTTCAAGGCTTCCTTAGAGCACATTTGATGATGTCAAATTGAAAATAGAAGGTCCCAATAACTGAAAAATAAAAATAATTTCTCGAACAAAACTCATTGAGGTAGATTACGACTAGATGCTTCCAAAAATGGTTTTATCGATAGACATATTTGTGGCGATTAAGCTTACTAACTTGCAGCATTTTCTCACTAATAATTCGAAATAAAACTTACTTGAAACGCGATGCAAGTTGTTACCTAGCTCGATATTTACCGCTTGAACACAAATTTTTAAGGATACTTCCCACCTTCGCGGTGTCCTTCGGGAAAAAAATTCGTACACACGCTAGTTTCACTAAAATCTTAGCAAACTGTATATCAGAAGAAACCTTAATAACTGCAGTTTACGATAAAAATATCATTTAAGCGACTTATCTTTTAAGGAAGTGTCAGGAGCCGGTATGACGACCGGTTCTCGGTTCACCCGCAGCACGAGTAAAATGGCTGCGTAGTCTTATTCACAAGTCATCAATCAACAAAAGTGTTTCAGGCTTTTTGGATATGCTAATTGGCTGTCTAGATATCGGCGTCTAGATATCGGCATCTAAAGTTGGAGTAGCTAAAAATATGTGAGGCGTGTTACGTACATGGACGTCATTGGGAAAATATTTCAAATATCAAAATTTCCCGACGAACTTTCGTTTGTCATTACTTCTGGAATATAATTTTTAGGGATAATTTGACGAGAATCGGACAAATCTGTATACCCTATAAATTCGTTCAAAGTGGTTGTATTCCGCCCAAAATCAAATGCGAGATTTTAGCTCATAAAAAAGGTTCGCAAACAACTCGCCAAGTCAGGAGATTATCTCGCCTCCTGAAACTGCAAATTAATAGGACAATGGGACCTCCTGGCGTCAATGACGATGGATCAAGATTTCCTAGGAAAAAGAACCCATTGCAGAAACGTTTTTTTCCTTTTTTTTTTTCCATCTCGATCGCTCAGTGGAGCGATGAGGAGGACAACACAATAATGACCAAAGTTGCCAAAAGCAAAGGAAAAACCCGTGGCAAAAATGGAAAAAAACTGGAAAATGTGCTGAGGAGCTAGACAGTGAATCGACAGACAGCTTTCAGAATTAAGATTCGAGGCGACTGTTAATGTTTTTGTATCAAGGCTTGCATAAAGAAAAGGAAATCTCGTTTTAACATTATGTTTGAAAGAAATAATCCGAAAGGTGAGGCATGTTCATCCACAAAACACAATGGCACGCTTTTAATGCACCTTGTCAAATCTTGTCGGCAAATTACTTCGTAAGTCAGATATTCAGCTTTAATCCTGCGTTCTTTTTCATACGTTCTCAAAGATTTGCGTCTGGGTAAATTTAGTGTACACTCGCTGCGACATATTGCATAGGATAATGTATGAGACTACCACCCGCTGAATCCATTTATTTTGAAGTTTATGTCAATAATGACAAAGAATGTCTGCTTTTGAGATTAAATTACATGCTAATAGCAAACAATTAGTCTACTGAGCAAGACTTTTCGTTGTATGATTTCTAACGCTTCAGCCATATGGTGTTCGTTTCCTCAAGTTTTCTCCAGATCAGGTAAGTGCGACGCCTCCTCGTTCTTGATTCGGCATGTGCAAAATTCTGCTTTCTTAACATGTCGGTAATATCTATATTTGTCTCAAGCTCTTTCTTTCACTTCCTTATTATTGTTTTGCATGAAGCATTTAAGATATTAAGGCAAAAAGTGATAGATAATCGGTCATGAAATTACGGTATGGACACCTCATTGGATTAACGATACCTACTTATGTGCGCCTTTACATATATCACCTCGTTTTGTGAACTATTGTCACTTTTCTCATCGAAATTTTACACATGTAGCCGGGAAAATTTACAAATCGCATCGGACTTTTCTGAGAAGTCGTCATCGTCGCTATCTGAACGTTCGAGTCCAGATAGCAGTTTTTTACAATAGCCCCTGTATGTGCAACATTGTAAACCACATATCAACGGCCTGGCCCGTTTTGATTGTATCATCTCTAAGCAAAGATTCTTGTCATTATACTTTCATTAATCTTATTCATGTTTTTATATTCAACGCGTCTGAGCTAGGCGTAAATTGGTATCGCATGATGTTATTCGTTTGAAAGAGTTGAAGTAATTTCCCGTTGTTTAGCCACAAGTCTTTTGTTTTAGAAGTGGAAGCCATCGTTGAATTGGCTAGATCCTTAACGGATTTCACTAGATTAATTGATTTCAAGATTACGCTATTTCGATTTTTAACAGGTGAGACGTTCCTAGTTCTATTTAATGATATGATTAAAATGTTGTGATAATCTTGTGACGTTTGTATCCTAGTGAATAGAACCTTAGATTAGCTGTATCTGTATATCTGTCGGACAGATAGTACAAAACCCGATAAAAGTATAGCAAATGTTGACTTCAATAAAGCATCGCGATATGTCTCTTTATCTCGTTATTTATTTTGTTTCTTATTCTACTTCCGCTTAATTTTTGGTTGAACTTTGAAAGCTGAAAGGTTTTTAGTTCTCAGACCGTCCTCATTTATAGCGAAGTGATCGTGTCCATTCTCGAAAAGGCACCAAAAATTAAACTTAAAGAACATGATATGGGTTGCTTGCAATATGCCAACTTAGCTTTCGTTTACTTGCGAACATGAAATAACAAAAAAAAAAAAAAACCGAATGATATGGCTGCATGTGTTGATAATTTTTTGGCAGAGAACTAACTCTTGAGTCACTATGGTCAAGTACGAGGTTTCTTCCATCGTGATTACCACTGTGCTCTTGATCCTGGTCGTTTTGGTCGTCACAGGCAATATAGTTGTTTGTTTGATTATCAAGAGAAATCGACAAATGAGGTAAGTCGCCGATAATGATAGATCAGTCCAGTTGGTGCGTTTTTATTTTTTTTGGTATAATTAGATTGAGACCGTTGCTTGTAGATTTCTTGCTTGCTTATATATTTTAAAATCTAGCATCATCATTAGCATCATGTCTACCTTTTTTTGACTCCAAAGGACTCCCATAAATTATTTACTCATGAACCTGGCTGTCTCCGATATTCTGTTTGCGACGTTTATTACAACAAAACTTATTTTCGGCTTGAATTTGAGCCACCCAGAGGGAGCAGTAGGTTCCATCCTGTGCAAGTTGGTGACTGGCGGAAATTTTGCTTGGATTGCTGGAGTTTCTTCAATTGTTACTTTGGTTACGGTTGCCGTCGAAAGATATTACACTGTAGTATATCCAATGGATCCAAATAGAAAAATGACTAAGCGTAAACTGAAGGTGAGTTGTTAATAAAGTGGTGGCACACTGGAGGAGGGTGGTTGCCCCTCAGCTTTACTGACTTTTGTACTATTACGACGAGTTTTTTTTCCTATTCTCGTATACTATCGTTACGTTCTTCTCGTAAGCTTGCCAATGCCACTTGATAGCTGGAGAAATGATTGTGCGTATACAGGCTACGAAAACTGACTAGGCTCATGAAAGGAATCATCGTGGGGAAATGAAAAGGAACTCGTGTAAAAGCGAGATGAAAATTAATAAGTTTCCCAGATCAGCAGAAGTAGCGCCGGAAATTTGGCGCCAGTGAAAAATGCAATTTAGTCGTGAGAGCACTTGCGTGCAAAGAAGTGACTCATTAAACAAGAAACTTTTATATATTTTTCGTTGTTATTCATTCTCAAAAACACTCACTCGCACTTTTTGCTTTCACTTACCTTTCTAGGTGATCCTTTTTTGTTCTTGGATATTCTCGGTGATTTTTAACATACCCCTCCTTCTTGCCCGTACTTATGAGAGGAAAGATGGGACAAATCATTGTGTGCTAAGCTGGCCCGAAAAATGGATGTCCACAGCCAGTTGTTTATCATGGGTGTTCTTGATTGTGACAGCTATTGGTTTGATGATTACTCTTTACTCTCAAGTCGTGTGCTCTTTATGGTTGAAACCAAAGAGTTGCTTTCCTTTAAGCTTTGAACAACAAGTAAGCGCTTAAGTCAAAACTTAATTTCTCTAATTATACATGGCAAAAAGCACTTTAAAAATGAATGGCGAAAAATTCCAAGAAAATCTCGTGCCACTCTCCCAACGGTTTGTTTTACCTTTAAGTTCTCATCTTTAACATTTTTCGTGACATTTCCCCTTCACTAATAGTGCAAGGTATTTTTCTTCGGTTTTGTTCCAATGATACTCAGACGGAACGGACAAAATTTTGGCGGTGCGTGTACGCTATTTGCAATTCGCACTCGTGTAACAACTTTGCATTCGTGTTACATGAAAAATGCAATCATTTTCAGCCAATCAGACGCGGGTATTTTTTTTACGTTTATTACTATTCGTTATAACTAACCTCGGGAACTAAAACGTTTTACTCCTCATTTTGATCAGATGATCCACATCTCGGTGACCATTTTTGGGCATTTCTTAATAATCGATAGCCCAATTGTAGTCTTTCTTCTATGCCATCACCTTCAATAAAAATATGTAAGATACTATTTTGAACGAAACCTAGATTAAATGAAAACTTCCGGCGTCCAAGACAGGACTAGTAAAAGTAGGAAATCTCTCATAGATCACACGTTCACTTGCTTTGATTTTTGCCGAAAAGAGGTCTTGACGAGAAATGAAGAAATCGATTGTCAAAATTTATTTAGAATGACTATGTTTGTCTTCTGTATTTACAGGGTGTGATCAGGGTGCGAAAACGTATCACTTTCATGGTTATAACAGTCAGTGTCATTTTCGTAGTTTGTTGGGGAGCAGTGTCGGTTGAATACGTCTTAAGGACTTCTACCACCCTTCAAGTGACGTTTGTACACATTGCCATTGTCGACATATTGGCGTTGTTCAATTCAGCTGTCAACCCTTTCCTGTATGCCCTCCTGAACCATCAGTTCAGACAAGAGATCAGGGGAATGATTTTCGGCACACACATAGCAGCACCTAGGCCAAGAGCTAAAACCAACGAGAAAAGTACTACCGTGGAGACTAAACTTTAGTTGGTTGCGTAGTTGACTTAATCGATTTAAAAATAGACATTTGTCACAAGGAGGAGTGTCTTAGAGCTAGAGATTACTTGTAAATTAAACAAATGGAGAGTAATTATGGTAGTGTTTGTATCCTTAGGATACCTCACAATCGCTAAATGGTATGTGAAATGCACACATCAGCTTAGAGGTCATCTTGAAAATTAAGAGCTTGATCAAGCACTTTTAAATATTTACCTGAGTATGATTTTTCTGTCGTAAAATTTAGCAGCAAAGACTTTCGAAGTTTCCAATCAGAAGTACTACTAGTTGAAATTGTGACAGAATCCGCTGGTAAGCTACGCCACACACATAAACCACGACCATGGTTAGATTTTGTTTAAAAACTAGTCACGGAATATTTATCCATATCGATTCGAAACCTGTAAGAAAGGTTTCGTAATCTGGGACATTGACTGTGAATACATATGAACTATATACGTGAACTTCGGTTTGAGAAATTAACAGGAAAGCGATCTTCGCAGTAATAAACACTACTTAAGCAGTAATGAAAGTAAGGCATGAAAAAATTCAGTGTACGGGATTTGAACATGTTACCTCTGCAGTACCAGTGCAGTACTCAACCACGTGTCGTCCATTGTCACTATGATTGTGTTATACTCTCAGGTCATTTCATCTCGTGGTGTGATCCTAATGTCGGTAATTTATTAAACTATAAACAACAAGTGAGTTTTTGATCATCATTATTTTTTCAAAAACGAAATGGCATCATAAACCCATTCTGACCTAGCCTTTGAGCTTAGACACTTTTCAGGAACCTCTGAGTGTAGATATGGAAAATTGAAAGACAGTTTTACATTTCAGGATTAGATTTACAAACCAGAGTTGTCCAATGAATCCTTCAATAGGGATGCCTTCGATCTCAAACTGTAATGAAATGTCTCACAGAAATGTCTCACCGCCGAATCCCCCCTCCCTCCTTGGACAAATTTTTTTTATCATAAGGCCTGAAAGAAGTCACGATTTGCGAGGGTGTGTTGAGGCTGCGTTTGGCTGATCAAGATATCCCTCGGAGGCTCTTAGTTTGCCCATCTAACTTTAGTGAAATCTCAACAAAGAGAACCTTAGTGGACGCCTTTTGTTGCTAGGACCTAAAATATCTGCTGTAAAAAGGAACCTGTCTTAACGGATAACCTTACTATTTGGTCGCGGAAGTCAGATTAGAGCCCTTCTGTTATTCGAAAAGTTAACATAACGGACACCTCAAGAGTTTTTGCTGTTGATTTAATATCTTATATTTCAAGAAAACTGCACCGTTTCAAAACCGTTACGAGTTAGCTTGTTAATCAATATTAGGGACTTTAAGATTGCCGACTACGTTTGGCTACGACGGTTAGATGTGTCTTCGGTAGACTGGGTCGAGTACCGTTAAAGGGCGCGAAAGTTTAACGCTTGTTGTCCTTAAAGATTTTGCCGACAGACAGAAGACGGTGGTTAACTTGTCAATCAATTCCCCATTCGCTCTCAACGTCCAGCAGCCGAGCAGGGTTTTTAAACGCTCCGTGTCTGGCAATAAATTTTTTTTACAAACTCTTCTTGGAAAGAGCTTTCAAAATTCTTAGAGTATCAGATGTTTCTTTAGAAATGTCAAGCGATTTCAAAAATTATTTTGGTTTTTAGTTGACCAATTTTCTGAGCTTGTGATTACACATACGATTCTATGATATACACAAGCTCGGGAAAATTTGTCCTCTTAAAGGGCATCGTAAATTTTGGAATCGCTTGGCATTTCTAAAAAAAATCATCGAGCACTTGCATTAGGTTTGCATGGGGTATTCTCTGAGAATTTGGAGAATATTTTTGACTACCGGCACGGTCTCGATAGACTAGGTCAGAAATGTTTTGTAAGTGTCGAAAAACTTGCCATTTTACATTGTGCTCAAGCTTAGAAAATTCCTCCACATAAAACCCAAATTAAGTTTTAAAATCGCTTGACATTTAAAATAAAACATCTAATACTCTTACGATATTTGAAAGAACATTTCAGGAGGCGAACCAAAAGCTTGTGACACGCAGACAAAGAGAAGCAGTTGATGTTCTACCCTATTAAAAACCGATTACTGAAAACAGAAAACACAAACAGGAACTATGTTGCTAGTCCAAACCAAGGCCAGGAGAGAACCCCAAACAAGAACACCACTAGTAAAACCCAAACAGAAACTATGTTGTTCCTAATGAATATAGAATCGATCTTCGCAGTTACCGGTATAAACACTACTGATCTAGTAGTTCAAATCCCGTACAGACCTAATTTTTTTCAGCCTTATTTCAACTAATAGTTCAGTTCAAATAAGGCCTAACATATAAATTACAACTACCGTACATGAAGCTTCTACCTAAAGTACACAAACTGGACAAACCCGCTTCACCAGACAACAACTCGAAACTTTGAGGATCGATTCTATATTCGTTCTCGTATTCAACGTGTCTGAGCAAAATGTAAATTGGTAATGCACAATATTGTTTGTTTTAAAGGTTTAGAGTAATTTCCTGCTATTTGGCCTCAGGTTTACTGCGAAGTGGAAGCTTTGAATCGATTGGAACTTATCCAGATTTGTCTGAGTTAATTAGTTTTAACACCACTCCGTTTTAACATAAACAGGTGAGCCATTCTAAGTTATCTTATTTCAACTACTAGTTCAGTTGAAATAAGGCGTGAAAAAAAAAATTACAACTACTGTACATGAAGCTGCTAACTAAAGTACACAATCTGGTCAAACCCGCTTCACCAGAAATCTCTAAACTGCGAGGATCGATTCTATATTCGTCCTCGTATTCAATGTGTCTGAGCAAAATGTAAATTGGTAATGCACAATTTTGTTTGTTTCTAAGGTTAAAATTAATTTCCCGCTATTTGGCCTCAGGTTAAATGCGAAGTGGAAGCTTTGAATCTATTGGAACTTATCCAGATTTGTCTCAGTAAATTAGTTTTAACACTACTCCGTCTAAACTTAAACGGGTGAGCCATTCTAAATTATCTTTTTAAGATATTGCTAAAAATGGTGCGGTAATCTGGTAATGTTTATATTCTAGGAATGGTCATCAGTCGGTTGTTACCGAGTGAATAGAATATAGTTCAGGCCCCGGTTGTTCGAAGGTTGGATCAGAGCGCTATCCACTGGATAAAACTCTATCTGGTGCATAACGCTATACTGGATAGCTATACTGGATCGCTGGATAGCGATTTATACGTTGGATAGCGTTTATATAACGCCCTTTATACAACTAAACCCAGCTGTATTTGCCAGCAGCGAAGTAGACAGATTTTGTAAAACGTAATGAACACATACCTCATGTCGAATTCGATGAAACGTTTCGATATGAACCTTTCTTTTGGAAACAGATAATTTAATTGGCTTCGAAAGTTTAAACGTTTTCATATCTTGGACCGTCTCCTTTTGTAATTGAAGTGGTCTTGTATTTCTATACTTGGTACTGAAATTGAGACCTGTCGTGATGCAGCTTGCTTAAGACGCGCTTAATGAGCGTTCGTTTCTTTTGTGAACATGACACGATAATAAAGATTGATATAGCTGCATGCTGTTGATGATATTCAGGCTGAGAACCGACTCTTGAGTCACAATGGTGGACTGCGAGGTTTCTTCTGTTGTGATTACCACTGTGCTCTTAATCCTAGTCATTATGGACATCACAGGCAATACACTTGTTTGTTTGATTATCAAGGGAAATCGTCAAATGAGGTATGGCTCAGGGATTGATAGAGTAATAACCTAGATACATTTTCATTATACTGGTGAAGTTCGATCGTGACAGAGTTGTTTGTAGATTCCTTTCATTGCGATCAGACTTCTTTCACATTGATTCATCGTTGTTATTATTTTGTTTCCCTCAACTCTAAAGGACTCCTATAAATTATCTGCTTATGAACCTGGCTATCTCCGATGTTCTCTTCGCGATTTTTATCGCACTAAAGCTTATCGTCAGCTTAAGTTTAAGTCACCCAGATGGAGTAACGGGTTCTGTCCTCTGCAAGCTTGCGACTGGTGGAAATCTGGTATGGATTTTTGGAGTTTCTTCAGCCGTTATTTTGGTTGTGATTGCTGTCGAAAGATATTATTCTGTGGTGTATCCCAGTAGGTAATTTAGTGTTAACAACTGGGTTGAAAACATAAATTAGCCACCGTAAAGGGTAAAAAAGCTGACGTTTCGAGCGTTAGCCCTATCGCTCTGACGAAGGGCTACCGCTCGAAACGTCAGCTTTTTTACCCTTTACGGTGGCTAATTTACGTTTTCAACCCAGTTGTTAACACTAAATTACCTGCTATACTCTCCCACCGACGCAGCACCACAGTTTCTTTAGAAACTTACCCCTTTATTCATTCCCAGTAGGGTTTATTACAACATATTTGTTCTCATGCTTTTCATTGTTATACTATCGTTCCACGTTCCTTGAAAGCTTTGTAACGCCACTCGATAACAAAAGAAATGACTGTGCTTTCACAGGCTTTGAAAGCTGATCACGTTTATTTAAGGAATGGTCTTGAGGAGATAAATTAGAATACGTCTAAAATCGTGATAAAAAGTATTATTTTTGCATTTTGGCGTCGGTAGGGCATAGTGACAGAAAGATAGAATTTGGCTACGAGATTGCCTGCAGAGAAAGTGACGCATTCAACGAGAAACGACGAAATATTTTTACCTCCCCTCGCTTTACATCTCACCAGTTTCTAAACACATTGACTCACACATCTTCTTGTTATTTGATATATTTCAGATTACCGTTTTTGGTTCTTGGATATTCTCGGTGATTTTTAACTTACCTCTCCTTCTTGTCGGTACCTATGAGAAGTAACATACCAAAACCACAAACACCACTGTGTATAAAGCTGGCCCCATAAGTGGATGTCCTCGACATATGGTTTTGCATGGTTGTTGCTGTCCGTTGCGGCTGTTGGTTTGATGATTTCTCTTTACACTCAAGTCGTGTTCCACCTGTGGTTCAAACCAAGTGATGGCTTTCCTTTAAGCTGTAAACAACAAGTGCGTGCTTAAGTCAACATTTCTCTCACTTAATTATCCATGGCATGAAACAGTTTTTTGTCTAGTGTCGAAAGTAGTGCAGGATCAAAGCTACTTCAGAATAATATTTGTAGGTTTCTTCTCATTTAATATCAAGAATTCATCACCCAAGTTCCTCTCAGAGTATACTAGGGTTCTTAAAAATAAATTGCC